GAAATGGAAAACTAAAATGAAACAATAAGAAGCAAAAATCTACCTTTAATAATAAATATAAATTCATAAAGTGCATCTTTAATCATCAAGTCATCTAAATAACTTAAGAATTTTGCAAACGTGAATGAAAACATATATATAATAATTTAGATAAATGTGATTGTGTTTCGAGCGGATTATCGAGCCTCGCTAACAATTAAAGGATGATTTCAGACGATTATGTAAGGAACAAATCTTTTGAGACAAAGTCTCAATGAGGGGGTGTTTTATTTATGAAAATTACAAATAGTAAGAAGCAAAACGTCTCCAAGGAGCACAAACACACAAAGTAATTTAAAAATTTGACGATAATAATTAAAAGAAATAAAATTCCACATTCTCTGTTTGAGAGTGATTTATTCGGGGTCCTTCCTTCTATGTCTTCTTTTCCTTTTAATACTCATTTGACGATTTTCTCTGTAGAACTGCCTAGAAACTGCTTGGCGCTCTATAACTACCCACTTTCTTCGTAATGATTGACTTGTCAGGAACTGCCGTTTGTAACTGTTGCTATTACTTTTATCATTTAATCGCTTGTAACCGAGATTCTTGGATCGTGAGGTGTGATAAAATTGCTCAATAACCGCTTCAATAACTGTCGTTTTAAGTAGCCACAAGACACTGTATTCGCTCAAATCTCGAGCGACTCAAATGTTTGGACGAGAATGAGATCATCGTTCTGAGCGACTGTAAGACACTTCATTCGCTCAGATTCTGGGCGTCCTTCAGATTTGGGCGATAATAATACTTTGTTTATGAGTCTCCGTTATATTCTACAATGGTCTCATTTTGACCTATATCTTGAACTCTCTAACTGGGCTCCAATTCTTAGATCATTTAATTTGGCTTCATTTTTTGTATGTCAACAGAATGCAAACAGGAGGAGAAAATGGATAAAGGACGGAAGTTTAAAAAAAAAAAATCACGTTTCCACTTTTCAACCCAAAATATCAAAAAAGAAAAAATCTGTGAAGTGAAAAACCAAAAAAAAAAAAAAAA